AAAAAAAAAAAAAAAAAACCAACCCAAAAAGTGATTTGTCAGTCATAAGTATTTCCCATAACAAATACCTTGAAGGAGAGGGTAGTGAGTGGTATCACTTAACATTTAGAAATGGGTAAATGACCCAACTCCTAGGTATACTGGGGTGGCTGTATCTCAGGTGGTAGAGTAGGTCACCTACTAATTGGAAAGGCTGGTGCTTCAATCCCTTATACCGGACCTTGGTGTAGCCCCTCAGTTCATCCATGTTAGAAAGAAGCCTTCAAACTCAACACCAACACAGTCAGACGCATGTGAATGAGCTAACAAAGCCACCAGATGTGATAGTGTCTTAGTACATAGATGTAAAGCTTCTCTACCTCTGCAGGTCCTGTCCCAGTTTCTCCGACCGGTCCTCTGCAAGCACTTGGTACATATCATCTTCCTCCAGCCTACGTTTGTACCCCGCCCGGAACAAAGGATTCAGCCACCTGAGGGAAAAATAAATCCAAGAGTCAGAAGGAAGTGGAAGCAGATGTCGAAAGAAAGAGGAGAGACCGCAGTTTATGGTTTAATTTAGCTGATCATCAACTCTACATGGTGTTAGAGCCGTGCAAAAAAACATGTAATATGCTTGCAGCAATGAAAAAAAAAACAACCTTAAAATGACGTGAGAAATGTGTGGTAAAGCAGGACTTCATAACATGATGGGCTGGAGGCACAGATGGATTAATAGATATACAGGTTCAAACAAATTTAAAAAAACCCAACAGCACTTACATAAAAGCAAGGATCCAAAATGCAGGTCTTTGTTGCTTGTTTACCTCACTTCGTGTCCATTTCATTTCTTTGTGTGTTTTGTAGTCACATTTTAATGGATTTCCTTTTCTCTCTTGACTCCTGTGTAGTTTATTTTGCACGCAGAAATGTCTCTTTGCACACACAGTGTTTTTCACTGAAGCCGTGCCAGGCCCAAACTGGAACTAATTGCACGCATTTTTGCAGATGCCAAAAAGCAGACACTCACATGACGCCGCAGAACGAAATAATAAAGGGGTATTTATTATTTTCTTCTTTTTTTTTGGGTTGTATGGAAGCCCCAAACGCAATTTCATTGTTCTTGACAATGACAATAAATAAATACTACTACAACTATCGGGCCCAAAATTGGGACCACTGTTTACCAATGGCTATAGGAGGTGTTTACTAATGATTTACACAGTCAGTCTGCAGATTGTGTTGGACTTTTTTTTTCCTTTTTTAAAAAGATTACCACAACTCTGACAAGCTTAGACTCTTTTAGGGGATGCTCAAGCGTCCCTAAATGTCATCATAGCACCCATTAAAAACAAATAAAATAAATTATCTAAAGCACAGTGGACTGACTTTATATGGTTAAGAGACTTAGCTTAAAAAAGCTGTGGATGCTTCTCCTCTAATCTGCTTTTCTACAAACTGTTCTTTAACTTTGGAAAATAGTGGTCAGCATGACTGAGCCTTTGCCTCAGTCACTACCACTGTGACAGTACTATATTTAAATGTCTAAATAGATTGAGTTTCAAGGCAACATTTTAATATTTATCAGATTGAATTTAGGTTTCCAAAGGTGAAAAGGACTGAATGGTTGCACCATTTTACATAAATATTAAAGCCAATTTATTATATGCATGGCATTATCCTTGGAAACTGAGCCCCCCTAAAGGTTTTAACTTAGACTCGCCCCTGGTGTAAGAACTCAAGGGAGATTCTTTGGAAGAGAAGTAAGAGCGCGTTGCCACTGGGCTAGTGCAAGGTAAACACGTCCAATTACCTGTAAAAATTAAAGAGCACAGGTGTATTAACAACGGCTACGTTCTACTCAGGAGGTCCTGCTTCTGTTCGCGAGGTTATAAGTTGCTGGGAATTGAGAAATCAAACTCCGTGAGCTTGACGTGAGTGGTAAAGGAAACCGTCGTGTACAAAACAGCAAAAAACAGCTTGATCGTCCACACAAACAAACATACTATTGCCAGTAAACAATTGCCATTTGAAGCGGCGGTATTCAAAATAACTCAACGATAAAGCTTTGAATAAATATATACAGGATATGCTTCTGACATTAAAGACTTGCAGTTTAAATTCTGTAACGAAAACCAGTCAACAGCGTTTTAGCCAAGCACCCGACTTCTGGTTTTCAGCAACTTTCGGTTTAAGCTGTTTTATGGCTCCACTTACTTTAAAAACAACATTTAGAAAACATATACATTTCTCCACATCCTTTATACGTGTTTTCAAGTTTCAACGTTAGCCCGCAGGACGTTTTATTAACTTACCAGAAAAATATCTTGGACAAAAAGTTCGCGGTGGCAGCCGGGTTCGTCTTGGCATCTTCACTGACTTTTTCCATCGTAGCCCACGCTCACACCGCAGGTTCCCTTCAGCTCTTTCCCCTTTTAAAAAACTGCTCCTCGTGGCTATGTGCCGTGGCTTTGGAGCAGACATATGTTACGCGGAGGTCAGCAACCTCAAGGTGCGTTACATATCCTGTAAAACACATGGGCCTTCTCCTTAGAAGCGGTCATAAAAAAAGAAAAAATAGAATAGAAATGTCTTTAATCGCTCCGCCCCGTCATACCCAATTGGTTAAAACAGTCGTGCACGCGCACTGACTGTGTGGCTGCGGTGCATTCACGTAACATGTTTAGAATGTCACAGAGTCCAGTTTACCTATGATTTTTCTTCTTCTTTTTGGTCATTGATGAGGAAAAAGTAGTATTAAAGATACTGCAGATAGTTCTCTTTCTAATATGGAAGAGTCCTTAACACCTTCAGTTTTCAGATGCAGAAGCAATGTGTCTGTGAAGGTTCTCAGTCATCCAGGTCATTGTAGTCAAATGAGCGTCTGGACTTCTTTAATAAAAGAATAAAGCAGTAATAAAGCAATATTTGTACCGCATTACGTTTTAAGGTACAATTGGCATCAAAATTAAGGAAAAAATTGACTTTACTGGTGAATATCAAATTTTCTTTATGCTGTAAAAGAGCTCAAACGTGTCCATATAAACTTCCTGTGTGTCAGATGCTTTGAGCTTATCCTCATTAGTCAGCAAAATACGTTTCTCATAGGGCTTGCCTTGTAGCTGTGAGGTCTCACTTGACTGTATTTAAGTTATGATAACAATGTATCATAAACGAAATTGTGTCTGTCCTGTGGGACCCAACCTGAGAGTTTTCTACTCAAAAGTTTCCATGGCAAAGGAGGTGGCATTTGTTTGCTTGCTTGCTGTGACTTTATGATCCCAGAGGCAAACACACTGATGTGAGGTAGACACAAAGAGAATATCCTATAAATAAAGAGCAGGTTGTTGATGAGAGAGGCTGTCTGACATTCAAGAGGTGTTTCCTGCTTTGACATAAAAGACCAGAGATAGAAAAAGAGAGCAGGGACTAAAACACCTACCTCCTCTCCTTCTCTCACTAATTTCCCCTTATATAACCAGGGTAAATGAATGTCCTGACAGTCTCAGTCTAATGATAACAAAGCTGCATGTTCATAGCTCCGAACCTCACATGTTACTTTATACTACGGTTGATGTTTAGCTAGCGCTGACTGGGAGAAAGGCCAAAAGAAGAGAAGCCAGCAGGAGATTATTACAAGCAGCTGAGCTCAACCCAATAACATTCATCCAAACTACTTTCGCTTGCTATCCTAAGTTGTGTGGCAGGTCTGCTTCATTTCTCACATGTTGTAGTTTCAGGTTATTTTCATTTCCTCAGTCCTCAACAAGGCAAAGGTGCATTATTTTCACAATTCTTCAGCATGCTTTATTGACTTGGGTCAGGGTGACCAGACAACTACCGCTTACAACATATACATTACACTATAAACCAAGGGGATGGTTCTGTGGGAAAAACCCAATAAATCAGCAGTTTCCCTCCTGTCGTCCTGGGACCTTTTTGTACCACTTTCTGGTTTTAAATGCATGCCATTTCCACTGTGTTCAGTGGAATATAACCAATCTTGCCAAAGGATTTTTTTTTTTTTTTAATTTTAAAATTTCAGTGTGAATTTCTTAAATCAGCCTAAAATGGCTGAGCAGCAGAAATCCTCACACCCTTTACCCTAGGGACCGTTTTCGGCCCCATTGACTTCCATTATAAACGCTATTTTTCATCCCAAAATTATTATTATATGATTTTATTTATTTTTTTTGCTTTGGATGTCAATGAGGACTCAGGGCCTTGAAATTTTAATTTTTATATTTGTCCACCAGGTGGCGCAATTTTTTCACTTTTTGGCCAGTGAATGAAATGAAGTAAATTTTCGTATTTATTCCATAGACTTTCTGCTGAATAAATGATAATTCTGTGTCACTAACAGTCTTAGACAATGGCGTGTATGTGTAAAAAAATAAAATAAAGGTTTTTATGCCTAAAAAAAGAAAAAAAATACACATACACACACACACACACACGCACGCACACACACGCATACCTTTTTTTCCCCGTCTTTTCTCTTAGGCCAATATGCAATACAAAAACAATAAATATAAAAGCTGGAACCAAAGCCAAATTAACTTTATTATGACAAAAAGTTAATTTTTCAGTGAAGCTGTGGTTGGGAAAACAAGCTGTACCCCGGAAGTAGTTATTTTTGACGACGAAAGGGCTCGGCGCGCACTGCGGTTGGCACTGTCACTACCCGATCCGTACTGGAAACCCGATCGGTACCCCGCATGCACAAATCTTACGTCACTTCCTCTCTTTGCCAACATTGCGACATTCAATTCAAATATCATTTGAATGATACGGTTAGCGCCCAGTTAGCTCCTAGCATTTCTCAACAGCTCTGCCTCCTTTTCGACATTTAAACAGTGGATAATCCGTATACAAAGAAATTCATGCTTTTCTCCTCAACAGAGAGTGTCCCCCGATTGAGCAACAGCGCCGTAAAATAAGAAGAATGGCGCCTTATTACAGAGTTAATAATGCAGACTTTGTAATATCTCACGTGTAGATTCATCAGCCAGATGAAGTGTTTATTGACAATTGACAGTGATAGCGCACATCATCATCACTATTCCAACAATCCTCTCCTCACAGACAAGCATAAACACACTCGACTATCGCTAAATCAAATTTAACACACGTTTGTAATGACGCTAATTCAGTTTATAATAGGGTTTATTCGCTCGGTCAGCAGGTGGCGGTATCCTCGTACACTGGGGAGTACACTGCCATTAAACTAACAGAAGAAGAAAACATCTGCACGGATCGGGTAGACCTGATTTGTACGGTCAGACTTTACACATGCGCAGTAAGGATCGGGGAGTCCTGATCCGTAACTATCTTTTTATTTTTCGTTTTTGTCTACATTGTACTGAAATGCTTCATTATTGCAAACATTTTAAGATATACTTATTATTCTTAACATATTAACAGATACTCTGACCCATAACTATGGTAAAATGCTACGACCGGAAGTAGACACCTTTCGCGCATGCGGGGTACCGATCGGGTTTCCGGTACGGATCGGGTAGTGACAGGCACACTGGCACGCAAATTTAACGGTAAAAAAAAGCACCTTTGCCACTCGTTATAACATTGGGAGCGAAAAGGAGATGAATGAGACAGTAACAGGGCGATATTTTAAAGTATTTTGGTCACTCAAAGACAATGATCCGCCATCGCGTTGGCGATACTTTCAGCCGATGGCTGTTAGCTGTTAGCGGATGACAAAATCCGCCCTTCCCCCCTGCATCGGGATAATGCAGGGAAATATTAATGTTTTCGTTACTTTAAAAATTAGTATCGTTGCATTGCCACTCAGTTACCGGGGGTTACAAAAGAAAAAGATAGATTTATTGCGTGGGATCGGACATAACGTGTAGGTAGCTACCCTGTCGGGGTAGCTACAGGGTAGCTACATGCTACAGAACATGACACATGTCACGATGACGCAGCGAGCTATGGTTTGTTTTGCTTTTATGAAGAACTTGGATCGTTGCATTACCATGCAATTTGAGAGTTAGAAAAGAAAACTACAGATTTATTGCTCTAGCGTGGATCGGACATGTCGTGTAGGTAGCTACCCCGACCGAACATGGCACATGCGTCACCACGACGCAGCGAGGGAATGTTTTGGTTTTATAAAGAACGTGTATCTTTGCCTTATTATTCAATTTGAGGGTAAGAAAACATTTTATATTGACTATTCTCACGTTCGGACAGGATTATTGTAATGAACAAAGGACATTTTGCCTGATAATTATTTATATCCTGCTGTAACTTTTCTGTATAAAGAACTAAGCCCTCCAACGTTTCAGGCGTAAAACGTCATAATTAGAAGTGTTTGTAACTAAAAATAAAAATTGTGGAATACTGTTTGTGCGTGATTTAGACTTCCCAGCCTGAAACAAACTGGCCCGGAACACTCACCACGGAACGACACCGGGACCCACCGCTGCAGCCAGCTGGAAGCAGACCGCTCCAAGCAGCCGGCTGGAGGCAGCGGAAATCATATTCTTCCTTGATTCCCAACATAACTGTTCATATTCATCCTTCTCAAATAAATGTTTTTTTGGTTCAAAGTGATCTTGTATTGTTATTAACATATTTTTGTAATTTTATTTTAGAAAACAACGAGGTAATAAGCACTTAGTATGTGAAAACTAAAAACATAATATACCGTTTTATTATAATTTACTATGATGCTGCAAAAAAAATAATGCTGGATCAAAACAAATGTTGGTGCCAATCTTTGACCCATCGAAAGGCCTAATTATAACAATAATCAAATATTACTTCAAATGTATTTTATGGAAAATATTTAAGTTTTTGTTTTTTGGGGCTAAAAAAACGGTGAGCTCATGGAATTAAACTACAATTTAAAGGGTTAAAACCCCCGAAATATAATTAAAACTTTATATGAATATTTCAGGGAGAAGTAGTTTTAAAAGATTGGCTAATTTAAAGTGGAAAAAAATATGAATATATAATCTTTTTATAGCACTTTTTGGGGTGTGGCAGAAAACGGTCCCTAGGGTAACGGACGTAAGTTTTTCTTTTAATTTGCCCCTGCATTAAAAATAATGCTGGATCAAAACGAATGTTGGTGCGAATCTTTGGACCATCCAAAGGCCTAATTATAATAAAAGTCAAATATTACTTCAAATGTTTTTTTAAAAAAAATATTTAGGTTTTTTTGTTTTTTGGGGCTAAAAAAAAGGTGCACTCATGTAATTAAACTGCGATTTAAAGGGTTAAAACCCCCGAAATATAATTAAAACTTTATATGAATATTTCAGGGAGAAGTAGTTTTAATTTAAAGTGGAAAAAAATATGAATATATAATCTTTTTATAGCATTTTTTGGGGCATGGCAGAAAACGGTCCCTAGGGTAACGGACGTAAGTTTTTTAAAGGATCGCACCAGTCAACCTAACACCAGCAAGCATGCCATCTTTAAAGTCACTAAAATCACCTAATTTCCCCATCCTGCCAGTTTGCAGTAAGCAGGTCAGCCTGACCATGTCTATATGCCTAACTAAAAGCTTTAATGCACTAATGAGCTGCTGCCATGTGATTGGCTAATTAGATAAAGAAAAGATACCAATAATGAGTCATAACC